TATCACGTTTTTGTTTATAACAGATAAGATTATAGGTTATGAAAAAGTAGTTATGTAGTAAAATTTTAAATTTAAATATTCAACATAATTTTATGTGTGGAAGATCTCTGAGTATAAATAATCTTATTCGATCAACAAATATTTGTTTTTAATGACTTTGTAGCAATTCTACGAAAAAACGTATTTTTCTCATATAAAATATATGGAAAACTTCAAAGTACCTATGGCAAGATAAACTGTTAAGCGATTTCAAACTAAAAAAAAAACTTGTCCCCTTACTTTCGTCTGAAAAAAGAATTTGGACCATCCTAATGTACACAAATACATAGCTTTATGCACGGATTAACATACCACGAAAATGTCTTTAACAGAGAAAAAGCGAAGCTTAAATGATGGCAAACGTTATTTGAATAAGTAAAAAAACAGTTTTAGTTACATGGATGTAAACATATAATAAAGACGGGACTAACAATAGATATGTTAATTTTTTTGTAAAATGTAAATTATTGCAAGTTATTACATATCTCCATTATTTTTATTAAAAAAGAAAAAAAAATAAATGTTTCTGTTTTTAATTGCGTTTGTATTTTATTTTAATTATGCCCTGAAACATAAAAAAGGAATGCAACCGAAACATAACATTTAGTGCTATTACAACTATAAGGCGCCCACATATTGACAACTTTTGACGATATATTTATTTTTTTACAATTTTATTTATTTCTATAAAAAACTATAGTATAAATCCAAATCTCAAACTTTGTACAAAATGTGAAAAAATCAACAAAACTTCCTAAAATGTTTAATCAGAGTTTTTGGAAAATTTTCGAGTATGCAGTTTTATAGTCAGTTCAATTCTAATACAAAATGCAAGTTTAAGAAAACTATAAAGTACAGTGGATATTTGGGCTTTTTTGTTTTTTGATACGGTGTCATTCATTTTCTTTCATACTAAGTATGTTCGAAAATTCTTTTATGTATGCACGTTACCAAAAAAAAAAAATCGAAAAAATTCTAAACAGAAGTATGAAATTTTGGTGAAACTATGCTGTTTTTTTTTAATTTTTGAACAAAGTTTGAAACTTGGATGGAATAAGCTATACTTTCATATAAAAATTTTTCTTGAACATTTTTGAAATCGAACAAAAACCACGGGTTGGTTATATCGAGGCTTCCACTCCACCTGAAGCAAACCAGCACGGGAGTGGGCTTTAAAATTTCATTACTTTCTATTTTCAACGAATAGTTTATGTGACAATGGTTTGCCAGTAAAGTGGACTGACCAGAGCACAAATAAAATACCGCTTAGTCCACCGATCGCCCAGATCAAGCCTTTTAACACAACAAGTTTGTTCCGAAGCCTATCTACGAATTGCTAGGTTCGTGTTGGCAAGAGCATAGTGTCACCATAGCACCATAGCAACAGAAGATTCGGCACTTACCAGGGGCATTCTAGTTGTCCATATCAAATGACACTCCACACTCGGCAGACCGATAGTGGCCGTCAGGTAAGGATAGCTTCGGTGAGAGATCTACCGAGTGAATCCTATCGCCTACTTTATTGTTGCGCTAGTCTCTGAATACTGTTCTGCGCAAGAGGAATGTACATATAGGGTGGGCCAAATAAGACCTACCAATTTCACGCAGCTGGTCCATAGTTTGCTTAAGTAGCAGTGTGCGCAGTCGCTCCATCTTATTGGAACCACAAATTAGTATGCTGCTCTGCCGTTGGCCTCATTCTCGAAGTAATGGGGGCCGATAACTTTTTCAGTCATAACACCGCACCAAACAGTGCATCTAGATACATAGGTGTAACTGGTGCTGGGGTGTTGCTCTTGGATTTTGAGAGCCCCACAATCTACAGTTCTACTTGGAAATGCGCTTCATCCAACATCAAAGCATTACCTAAAAAATCAATTTGTGTGGATAATTGTGTATCCATTATGATTTTCCAAGAGATTAACTATAACGTGCAGAAAGAAAATAACAATAATATTAAAAAATAAAAAAGTTATAATGTTTAACATTGGTATGTCTTATTTGGCCCACCCTGTATAATGGAGTCACAAAAGGGATGATCTTTAGGAATGGCGTTATGCTGCAACGAAATCATTATTATTATTTTTTAAATCGAGAGAAAATCCAAAAATTTCCAGAAGTATATAAATTCGGCCGCTGTGGTGTAGTGGTAAGCAGTGCGTGCTTCCACTCCGCAGCACCTGGGTTCAAACCCTGGTCAAAGCAACATCGCAAAAATATAGAAAAAAGGTTTTTTCTTAACAGCGGTCGTCCCTCGGCAGGCAATGGCAAACCTCCGAGTGTATTTCTGCCATGAAAAACAGCTTCTCATACAAATACAATCGCCGTTCGGAGTCGGCGTAAAACTGTAGGTCCCTCCGCTTTGTGTGACAACATCAAGGCGCACGCCACAAATCGGAGGAGAAGTTCGGCCAAACACTAACATATGTGTAAGCGCCAATCTATTATATTATATAAATTTGTAATCATTGATGGGTCCATATCCCTGGGCATAGGCTTGTAAAGTACTCAACTGATTACTTCACATATAAAGCATTTAGATTTAGTCGAAGAGATTTCTATCTCGTCATCGTCGGATTCCTCTGATTCTTCCTGCTACTTGGCCTCAGCTGATGAACGGTCCCCGCCCGCAGGGGCTGCATCCCCAGCTAAGGCAGCAGAACCAACAGCGATACCTGCCAAAGCCTTAGCGAACAGCCCGTGCCAGTAGGGTTCAACTCCTTCTTCAAAGGTGTATTGATTCAGTATTTAGCTTATCGTATTACTTTAACTTAATTACATTTTTCAAATAGGTGGCAACCCGCTACAAGAATACTTTCGACGGTAAACTTTCTTAAACCTCTTTAGTTTGATACCCTTATTTTAATATTTCAATTATTTCATCAATTCAATAATTTAATGAAAATTTTTCATAAAGGTAGCAACCCTAATCAAAAATATTTTTCGCAGTAAACTGCCCTAAACCTCTTTAGTTTGATACTCATATTGCAATATTTAATTTATCTTATCAATTAAATCATATTGAAATTTTCAAACAAGTGGCAACCTTCCACAAAAATATTTTCAACTGTAAGCCTTCTTAAGTACCTTTCTTCTAGCAGTCACATTGCAATAGTTACTTTATCTTTTAAATTTACTTAAACTGCGATTCTCAAACAGGTGGCAACTCTCTAATTATTATTTTTCTATATTTTAAGTTAGACCTTTAGCAATGCATACTTATGTGAAAACTGCATTCAATTCGACGTATGTATTTGTTTTCGAATGATGCGCCTACAAACATACAGACAGACAGACAAAAATTCTATAAATTGTTGATTTGGCTTCTGTTGCTCTAATAAAAGCCGCCATATTATTTTTTTTTTAATATCTATAAAGTATAGACATATATATATATATATATATTTTTTTTTTTTCGTTTATATTTCACACTAGAGACCAGAAGCAACAACAAAATACAAGTATGTAAATGTTGTTTCGGTTCTACTGCTACCACCTGTTTCTTATGCCTTGACCTTAGCTCGCAATCGAGTACAAACATCCTTCACAATTTGTTTTTCAAATATTCGCTATTGTAAGTAGGTCCCTCTCCTTTGTGTGACAACATCAAGGCGCAGCCAAACACCCAAATATTGGGAAAGCGCCAATCTACATACTATTATTATTGAGAATAATCAATGCATTCAAGAGCCACGTTCGCTATTTAGAGCTTTCATTAGATCGGCATTCATGATACTGGAGTAAGTTTGTTTTATTTTATTGTTAAATATTTAATTTTATTCCATTTTTTACTTTCTTTTTTATTTGCAAATAATTTACTTTCTTCTGTTTGACTAAAATCACCACAATTTATATCTACGTGCCCGCATTATTTTCCACAATTTTCATTCATACATTTTTTATTTAGTTACTTTTGCTTAATTAGCCAATGCCTTCCACTGCATATGTTGCTGTTAATCTAAATGCAGCAGCCAATGCATTAGCTCATTTAAAAACAAAATGTTGCACACGCGTGTGCCACCAACAGAAGGACACTCATGTACAAGGTCTTTAGCGTTTCACATTAGCAGCTTAGATTACACTAACAACAACACGAATATTTATATAGCATGCGTGCTGGCTCCTCGTGCACGAATGTAGTAAACGCATACATACATACACATATAATTATATATGTATCAACATACGTTTATACATCGGTCGTCTCTTAGATGGTGCGTAAAACGTTAAAATCGGCTTATTTATATCTATCCGCTAGGGTTAACTTCGCGAACAGATGTGCGTGTTGCATGTTGCACGAGCCCTGAATTGCAAGTAAAACCAGGAAGAAAGCTCAAGTGGAGATAATAAGCTAGCGAGAACCGGCATCAACTTAAATGCTTTGCTTAAATAAAAATGCATACACACACTCGCACATAATTGTGGGCCTGCATACCTATGTCTGAATGTATGTATGTACATATGCACACTGCACTATATTATACATGTATGTATGTATGTATGTGCATAAAAACATGCATATCTATGTATAATTCTTTTTTTTTGGAGCACTCATTTTTGCGAAGCTAATAAATAGTTGCATTCAGCGACAATTAATTAAAAAAAAGTTTGCCGTAAAATCAACGCCCGCTGCACGGAAAACCCAAGTCAGCTAATGCAACAAAAACTCAGCAAGCATCACAACAATGTAGCGACACAACAACAACATCTTCAGTAGACTATTTTTTTTGTTTGCTTTTTTCTATTGCACAAAGAAAACTTGTAAAATATGTACTACTTCTTTCCGTTTTCATATTTTGACACCTACATTTCTCACACTCCACCTCTTCAATATTTTAACACTTACATCGCGTGTAGCAAAATGTTCGCAAATATGCAATTTTTCAATTACAAGAACAAATAAATATTGACTAAACAACACTTAATAAAAAAAATATGAAACGCGCGCGCGTGCGACATACCTGTACGAAAGCGTAGCGACACCTGCGATATCCGAAATACAACTGGCTGTAGAGTTGGCCGCACTGGTTGCTGGCGAAGTCGTTGCTGCTGTTGGCACAGTGGCATCGCGCATTGCTGTTGTCGTCGTCGATGACGACGCTGTTGCGGTGGGCGTCAGCGTTGCTGTTGACTTTGTTGCTGCTGTTAACAGTTGAGCAGCCAATGTAGCACATTCCATTGCTGGCGCTGCTGTATCGTTAGTTGATGTTGTTGTTAACTGTGTTATGGTTGCAGCTGTTCCTGCTGTTGGTTCAGCTGGTGTTATAATGATTGTTGCTTTTGTTGGTGTTGTTGTGGTTGACAGCTTTCGAGCGTCTGTTGGTCTGCCCACCACCAATGAGGGTATTGTTTCGTTTTGCAGACTTGTCAAACTCGAATTAGCTGCCTGTTCAGTTGCGGCACTGCTGTTAGTGACAGGTTCGGCAACATGTTGTGGACTCATGCTGCTATAAACCTTGGCATTTTCCCCGCACTCAGGCTTGTTGTCAGTTTGCGCGCCAATTTGATTTGGATTTGTTATTGGCGCTACAATCGCTGCTGCTTGCGGCTGAGCGGCAGTGGCTGGAGCATTAGTTGTACTCGTTGTTGTTGTTGTTGTTGCTGCTGCTGCTGCTCCACCTGCAGTCTGCTGAGTAATGTATTCTTCGGCTGCAGCTGCTCTCGTGCTTGGCAACATGGCTGCTGCGCATGCCATCGAGTCTCCCAGCTTTGTCGCATCTTTTGCCTTATTTGTTAACATTGTTGTCGTAATTGTTGATTGCTCACCCCTCTCAAGTGGCGCTACTGCTCCACCACTTGCGGTTGTTGTTGTTGCTTCATTACTCTCTCTGCTTTTATCGTCTTTTATTTTGTTCGCTCTTTCTTTGCTTATTTTGTTTTTCGACTCAGCACGCGATTCATGGCGGCGGCTTGCTTGCGGATACGGTGTTTGCTGCTGTTTTTGTTGTGGCGTTTTCGGTTGCTGCTGCTGCTGCTGCTGCTGTTGGTATTGTTCGCATTCCACTTG